CTGAACGATTGCCCGCACGTTGATCAACGGATAGCCATTAAGAATTAATTAATCGTCGCGAGGCGGTGACCCTGCGGCCTGCGCGTCCGTGACAATGATCAATTAATGAATAATAAAGTTTCATTTACTTTGTCAAAACGAATGAATGAACGAATGGACAGACTCGTACTACGACGATCGTAAAGAATTAATACGCTCGTATAATTACGCATAGACACCGGTGCTGGATACCCTTGAATGACACGTGTCCTTCTTTTTTACTTTTCATTTGTCACGGTGACTAATAACGGGAGTGTGAATCGATCTGCATAAGTTTAACGCGGTTGACGACTCGACCGAGGCAAGCGTCTGTTTCTCTTTCATTCGAGAATTCAGAAATCGGGTCCATCGCGTAAATCTTTGGTACGGTCGAAAAATTTTTGACTTACACTCTTTATGGTTCGTTTACTGATCGGGTGCACTTTTATTTACGATATCTATGAGAATTATTTGGTCGAGAAGTTTCGAACGTACGTAGGAAATACGTATGAACGTATAAAATGCGAGGATTCTTAATGGGCCGATCAGAAACGATCGCGTTCGAATTTGACTCAGTCGCTCGTAAAACGAACGGAGAGCTCGAAAGAGTGAAAGAGATCTTATTGCCGATTTTTCTCGATACCCAAGAGCGGAATTCATAATGAGGATCCGATCGTCGCTATTAGCGTGACCGCTTCTTTTGAACGTAGCCGCTCACATTTTTCTTCTTCTTACTTCCACCTTAAGAGCACTGTATACGATTTATCGTTCTCGTTTATAGCGCGATAATATTAAATCATTAACGACTCGACTGTGGAGCTAGTAAAATGGTTCTGTTTATGAACAGATCATTATCTCGTTACGATTTCTTAATTTCTTTCTACATGCAATTCACAATTTGCACGATAACGGAGTTGTGTGTATACAAGAAATTTTGAGCGACCCACGCGGCAAGAAATTATAATCGTCTTCCGTTCGATGCAGTCTTATCTATCGATGACATCACTGATTACGACCACGCGTGTATCAAAAATCTTCGCAGTGTCCCTCCTCGACGCCTGTGACCCGATTCCCAATACATTCTTTACGGTGCTTCCAATTAGTTTCGTCACTTTAAAATTGTTGCGCATCTTCAGGATTCGGTCGTCTCATACTTTCGATCCGTGAAACTTGGTACTTGAACTTGTCGACGAGTGTAATTAGCGAGTCGCGGAAAACAGATGGAAGTCACGTCCGCGTCACACGAGCGAATTATAAAATTAATTGATTAACTTGCACCACCTGTCGATGTCGTACGGATGCGTCACTATTATACCAAACGTGTGTTAACAGGTGCTTTTAATTCGGCCGAGCGAGGGACTTCCAGCTGCCCCCAGGTCTCCGCTATTGGATCCTGAATTCGAAAGGTTCATCGATAGATAGCAGGCGACAGTCTCGATTAAAGACAAACGAAACTGGTGAGTAGAGATAAATAATTGCGATTTTAATCGAGGCTTTATGAAACCACTCGTTGCTCTTTGCCCGAAGCCATGCTTCCTGAATTTCTAAGGGTTTCCGTATCCTCTGACACGTTAAACACACCCTACAAGTAGCGTGTACATTGTATAATAGCGTGTATAAAACATTTAAAAAATCATCGTATTCGCGAGAAGTAAAAAGCCCTTCCCAGTTACCGACAAATACGACCCTGACTGTTCTATGAAACGACGTTGGTACACGAATAATAGAGAAAGCACAGATGCAGCGTTGTGCATCCAACGTGCGGCGTATTTTCAACAGTTGCTGAATTATCGTCTCGCTTCCGCGAAAAGAAAACCGCCTTGAGGTGCTTCTAGAATCGAGGCCGGAAGTGTACAAGAGTCGCAGCTTTCGAAGACGATCGTAAAATGCCCCGCGAGTTCCCCGACGTTTCCTCGTCCCCACCGCGGCTAGTATCCACTTTACACGGCAGTCGGCAGTCTGTGCAGTTCCCATTCTACTAGATGAGAAAGTTCAATAATCATATCAAACGAAAGTCGACTCCCTTACAAAAACCAAGTAGATTCATCCCGAAAACAAAGTTCACAGTTATTTTTCGTACAGTTACGATGCGTACATTCCTATAGAAAATGTATAGAGAAACTAATACAGTTTCAACCAGTGCAAGGGACGAGTATCAGTACGGAGAATCGGGATAGAACGGAAGAGTAGTTTGTATTTGTAGTTTTTATAAGACCGTCCAAGTATTGTAAAATAGAAATAGGTTGAATTGTGAACAGGCTTCACGGTGTACGTTCAGCTCTTAGATAACTAGGCAAAACGATTGATAACGTACGAATAAGACTCGCTCGCGTCGTTACGGCCTCGTCCTGAGAGGACATTCATTGGCCACGACGATTCATCTGTCGCGCAGTGCTCGGACCAGTCGTAAACCCGATTTTTCCCTTCTCGACGAAGTTGAAATCGTGCAATAACGACGTAAACGGGACGTTCTCCGTGCTGTACATCGTGCGTCCCGGTAGCAGATGAAACGCGTTACTGAGTAGCCTCGGGTCTCGGGTACTCGTCGTCACGGTTCGCGGTTCGATCTCTCCGAAAGCAACGATCTCTGCCTGACCGACCAGCTTCGGAGAGGCGGTCGTCACGAATTTCTCCGAGTTTTTCGATCTCTCGCTTCGAAAATCCGGCTCGGCGTTCGCCGGTGGACGCGCGAGGCACAGACTTTCACGCTGATGGCAACAGGAGAACGAGTCTTCTCTCTCCGAGCGTTCGCTGCAGCCTGTGTACAGGGGCTCGACGATGAGAGAAGTTTGGTTGCTCGTCGACGAAGAAATTTTCACCGCGCCTTCGCGCGAGAGAAAACGACTTAGAAAGAACCCGCCTCGTGGCCGTCGTCGGCGCCGCGCGATACGCCGCGCGGTGCCACGCTTCTCTCTCGGAGACCTCGAGCACACGCTCTCCCCTCGGGCTTGGCCGCGGAATGTCGTGCAAAATACGGGAAATTCGCCGGGCCGCTCGCTACCGACGATCGACGATCGATCCGTCGATTTCGCCGGCGTCGTTTCGTGATCGAAGCGTCCCGGTGACGCGGCCCGTTCACCCGATACCGAATAAAAATGTTCCCGATGAATTTTCTTCGGCTGCTGGCCGTATGGAAAGTGGCGCGCGGCTGGTATCCGCGCGTTCGCTCGTTCGTTGTCTGCCCGCTTCGTTCCCGGCTCCGAGGCCGCTCTTACGCTGCTCGCCGTATACACGTTGACAGTCAGTGGCGGGTTTCGAAGCTAACGGCATGGCAGACTCCCTCGTATATACTCGGGGGCCCGGCCTGCTGCTGCTGCTGCCGTCGTCTACGAGTTCCCCGTTTCACAGCGTCGAATTCGAAATCGACTATCGAACGTTCTCAAATATCACCATTTTTCTTATATTTCTAGTACCAGCGTTGAATTCACAAATACGTATGAAATTCCTTTCTATCATTCAGTTGTTCAATTAATTCGAGCATAGGTCTGGGACATGTATTCGTTTGAAAAATCGAGACTCACCGTGACATCCAGAGCACAAAGGAACTTGATAATAAACGACGAAGCAGTTTTTTATATCCAAATCATTTCGAGTTTTGCTTCGTTTTGAAATTTTTCATCGTGGGCCTCCGATCCGTTCTCCCGTAACTTTCATCGAGCCAGGCCAGACTATCGTATACACTTTCTCGCGGCGAGCACAATTTTTCACCTCCGCAGTGCAAATACAATTCATCATAATCAGAAACCCAATACAGAAAACGTAATAATGTATTAATCGTAGAAATGCAAATAATTAAACGTTTCAATATTTTTGTTTTGACACGAGATAACTGACACTAATAATGTATCGGTTCCTATACAGATAAAACGAGCAAATGATCGAACGTCGACGGTCATAGATCTTTCCGTGGTTTTTGTTTTAATATGTGAACCAGTGTATAAATCAGCTCACATAAAGACATTGATTACACATCGGAATCGTACATTTAAACAATGAATTTCCTTTCTACGAGCGAGACCTGAATGGCATAAACAATCCGACGATATTCAATATCAATTATACAATTAATTTACGTGGCGTGAATAGAACGCGCCCTTCCGCCCGTACGAAATCCACCACCGTTCGAGCCCCGACAATATGCTGTTCGCTTTTCGATGTACAATAGGTTTTAAAAATAATTTATTGAAACCCGGTTGGACCGGCCGGTTGTAAATCATCGATACGCACAACTATTTTAATTTGCCACCCGCGCATTTCGATGGATCGCGGCATCGAAACAATTTGGCTAACGGTCTAATGGACTCGCATCGTCGCGCGCCAGAAGAAAGGAGAATCCGAGTCTGAATCGTCGGCATGATCGCGCTGAAATTCATACTGATTTCGCGCGAAACAAAATACGTATGTACACACGTTCGTTCGACGGCGCGCAGACGGACGTGTAAAAATAAATTCCCGAGCCACCTTTTTTCATCGCTGAGAACGCGTTCAGCTCTCGTCGTTACGAATTTTCGGAAGATGGCCAGAGGATCGGTCGATTCGAAGGGGTGTTCCTTGAGAGAAATTAGAGACTACGAACTCGCACGTGATCGCTCCACGAATAATGTAACGCAAATCCTTGTACGTAACGTGCACGTTATATAACGACTAGCGAGAGTAAACTCTGGTTTCCTTTGCGAGCATCGCGTCGATGAAGCTCTCCGATCTCGTCTCGCTCTCCTTTGTACAAACGTGATTCGTGAGACGAATCGTTGTTCGTATTTTTTTATGTCCATGAGTAGTTAAGATCGGGGCGAACGATTCCGGCGTTCGAGGCTGGGCCGCGTGGCGGGGTTCCGCAACGGGATTGGTACGGCACTGAGTGCCGTGCCGTCGTGCTAGAGTGCAGGTGGGCCGAGCCCCGACGGAAACAGCCGAGCACGCGCTCGGGGAGAACCGAGCGGCGGTAGTCGACGAGTACTGTTGTCAGAGTATTCAGTAATGCTTTGCATGGCCAGCCAGATGCTAGTGGGCTCGTCGGTGAGAGTCGTGTCGTTCACTCGAAGTGATCGTGTGGTGTTACTCGGCGAGGAGCTAGTTAGGCGGCATCCTGAAACGCGAGGCACGAGCACGTATATTCGCAAGCGCAAGTGTATATATTCGTGAGACTGTGAGACGCGCAGGAAGCAAACAAGAAAAAAATCCAAACGGACAGAGCGTTTCGTGAAGCGATAGGCGCCGACGGTGTGCGGAGCTTCGACATTTCACGTACTGTTTTATTCACCGAAAGCGAACAACCATCGCGCTACACTGTGTATGGTACACGAACGACCCAAGATGCTGTCGTCAGTGCCAGCGAAATAATAATGTGGTGCGACGTTAGTCAGGTGAGTGAGCAGTGCCACGTTCAGTTCCTAATATTTTTCTGATTTTTTTTTACCCTCGCTTGCCGAAAATTGTGTTCGGTGCTCTAGCCCGTCTCTCACGTTTTCCTGTACGACTGCTCGAGAGAGCGTTACGTGAACGACGATATCCACAGCGGCTGTGTGCCGTGTGAGAAACGGTCCCGAGTTCTGCTCCGTTGTACGAGAGTTCGGTGTTCCGCGTAGGGACCTCGGGCATCGCGATTTCTTCCGTCGTTTCCAATTAGAATCCGTGCATCAGTGGTTCAGTGGTGTGATTTTCTTTGTCGCCGACGGATAACCTCGGATAATATTCTCGCTCAGCTTCGCGTTCCCCCTGTCCTCCCGTGTAACGCCTTCACAGGCTGGCGACGAGTCCTCGTGGAAAATTCTATGTCACAAACCGTCGAGTGATCTCGAGTACGATCTCTATTAGTATAAACTTCAGATCGATCGGAGCAAACCCGATTCTCGAAACCCTGCAATCCGTCGGTCAGTTCGACCTCGAGGACGTAGCTTAACAGAAAAAAGGGCATCAGATTCCTCTACTAATTTTCATTTTCGATGCGTGTTCGATTCTCAAGGGCTTTGGTCGTGTCTCGGGTAGAGCCGTTCGTCGAATGAGAACGAAAACGACGTTGGGCGAAGTTCGTCGCCGACGTTGGTCGGAAAATGGATACGGCGTCGGATCGACGTCGTGTGCCGAAGTGTCAGATTTGACGCGTGGTAACCTCGTGTTCAGTAGTTTGAATTCGAAGCGATCCCGCGTTTCCTTGGGCTTGGTGATGAGCGGCGGGGGGAGGGAGAGGGCACACAGGCGGCAGCAAGAGGTGGAGGAGCAGGAGGCGGTAGGACGGTGGCCGCGGATGGGTGGCGGAGTCGCGGAGAAGCGAGGGGTGTTCGAGGTGGCTGTGGTAACGACGGTGAGTCGTGGGTCGCCGGTTTGGAGGGGGGTAACGAGCGACGGAGAGGCTCGCAGTTGAAACGGTGCGGGAGAAAGAAAGAAAACGCGGTAGGGAAGGAATAAGAGCACGCGCTACGGAAAAGGATAGGCGCATACACGAGAAACGGAGATAGATCCGTTGGATAAGAAGAGAGAGGGAGAACGAGATAGAGAAAGGTGACCGAAGTCTTCGAGGCTGCCTCTTCTTTACTTGGCCAGCGTTGCGGAGGAAACCTAGCGTCGTCCGTGCGCCGCGAGGAAGGGTACGACGTTCACTATGAACGGGGAGGGGGGCTCGCTTATGACCAACCATCAAGGGGGCAACGTCGTCATGGTTACCGCGACGACAACAACCCGATTCTGTACTAGGGGATGTTTTTAAAAAGTATATATTTACCTTTGCTCTTTTTCTATCGCCGATCGCGTGCCCGAGATACCGTCCATATCGGCACGGTTCGTTCAAAACCCTGACTCCCGAATCTTGTGACGTGCGTCATCGAACGTCTCTTTAATCGAACGATAATTCCGAAAGATAATCTAATTTCTGTGCTGTAACTCGAAAGATCCTCGCGCAAGCTTCGTTCGAAAATGCGACGGGTATCGACGTCGAACTTTCGCGCTCCCAAAATGCTTCTCAGTGAAATATTCGATGCACGATGAGCGAATTCCGGTACGAGCGACTACCGGTTTCCGACGGTGGCAGAGCGTCCGTCGAATCTGTGACTCATGTACTTTCTTATTACTTTACGTGCATGAGGAATCATAGTGAAGTTCTCGCACTTTTTGCCACGGTCGGTCTCGTCGCGATCGGACGACTCGAGTACGTTCCATTCATTTATTTACAATGATGTGCTTCGGTTTCGTGTATCTTTTCACATTGTCAATTAGTCGAGTTTCCTAGCGGTGCCGGGTGTAGAGGAAAATGAGTTGGAACGTGTCCGACGGCCGGTGGTGCGACGCGATTCTTCGGTTTCTGAATTAGAAAAGTCGACAGACCTAGTCGGTTTTCTGCACGATCTTTTGAAACGTTGGATCACTGATTAATCAAATGCTCGTAGATCATAGAACTCGAATAGACGTTGCTGGTGACGGAAAACGATTGCCACTGGTTACATAAATAGAACAGTTTCTTTGAACACAGTCGACCGATCAATCGGCTAAAACCGACATAGGACTTGGCCAAGAGATCTTTCTTCTCAACTTTCTTGCTTACCTGAACTCTGCTCTGGACCACTCATTTCCGTATCACAGAAATTACACTTGATCCTACCTTTTGATTTAGAGACATTTAGACACGTGGCATTGCAAACGCATTCCTTAAACTCAGCCATTCGATCAACATTAAATAATCTCACATAGGATTGCAGATATAAAAATCGTAATTTAGATGTAAATCGACTATGTAACGCGAACGGGTCCGAGAACAGACAGTCGTCCAAAAAGAGATGTGTACTGCACAGTAAAGCGAATCCGAGTTCCTCTCCCGTTACCCTGGTTTGGCCTCCAGCAGCAGTACTTCTTCTTCCGCCTCCTAGTCCTCCTGCGGCGCATCGGAGCCGCTCACCCACCATCACGGCCCATTAACGAGAGTTATCGACGCGCGATCTGTCAATAGGCTTCTCCCATTCATAAATTCGCCCGGCGTGTGCCGGCCGCATAGTTTTGCCGCGAAAACCACGTGGCGGCGGCGCGCGACGTCCTCTGTCGTCGTTGCAACCCGCGACCCGAGGCCTCTACTTGATTTACGGCAACGTTTTAAATGCATGCAGACCGGCCGCCTCGCTCGCGCATTCGGTCTCCCAGAGACTCTTACTTTCTCGCAAACCGTGATTTCCCCTACGCGAATCTTTCTATCGAGCATCGTAGAGAAGTAGGGAATTCGCGGTATTGAATCGATTCGAAGAACTGAGAGACTCGCGTTGATACAGCGCGAGGGTGATAGATAGATAGATCGTTACACAACTAATAAATAAGATCGACTTAATGTTGCCAATTGAATATTGCAAGGATATAATAATGATGGATGATAGGCGACCCGAGGGAATCAGGGGTAACACAAGAGATATTTATGTCACCCGAAATTTATTGTGTTTTACGTTACATCTGATGTACACATGTTTCATTACAAACACGATTCAGAGATCTAATATAAGAACGCGAAGTATGCGAAGGAACGTAACAGGTATTCGATCGAACGATAACGCGGCGACACACGGGAAAGCCGTGGACGAGGTCAGATAATAGACCTACGGCACTGTTTGGCGTGCACCGGTTGATAACATCGATGAATCACGAATTACGAATGTTACGCTGCGACTGGCATCTCCCACTGTCCCCCTTTCGATGCAAAGACGACCGAAGCAGCACGTGGTGTGTGTATGCTTTGTCACCAATCCCGTGTGCAGCACGCCGTCGCGTTTGTTGCACTCTCCCGTTTTTGTTTTGTTTGCGTTGCCGCGCCGCCGATTGAAAAATTCGCACCCACCACCGTTCCGCGCGCACGTGTGTCGTAATTCACGCACTCGACACAATGAACTCACGTGTCACTGCCTGCTTTGTAGGAAAAAATAGAAACATTTTTCGCGCGATCAAAAGCGATTTTCGATGTTTTCAGTTGTAGAAGAACGGGCGATGAGTACAGAGGCCGGTCTCAGACCTTCGTCGATTGCTGTCTTTATTAGCTCCATTCACTGGACAGTGAAGGTTCCCCGTTTGCGGACAGAGAGAAACCGCAAGAGGCGAAGGCATGATTTATGACAGAAGTGGAGTCATAATTCACGCGTCTAATTCGATCGCACGTTGCGAAGTATCGAAGTAAATCTCGGCCGTACATAACACCGTCGATCAGCATGAACAGGGAAAGAAGGCAATCGCAGCGGGTGTCTAACTTTCGAGGATTCCGGCCACGTGCCGTTAACGGTACCCCGGCTAGTTGAAAACAGCCACCGTCACCGGCTATGAAAAGTAACCGTTAGCTGTGACCCGTGTGTATAGCCGCGCGTCGATCTTACGCATGATAGAAACCCGAATCTCCTTGATAAAGATGCTACGGTTCTATTCGAGTCAGGATGAGACAGCTTTGCGGTAGGTTAAGGTTGCAGTGGCTTTCTCCTTCTCTGTCTCCTCGCCTCTTCCTTCGGAGGCTTTGTACCGGCGAATTTCACGCCCACCGCCGCGTTGATGGTTTCGTAATTGCGATGGGAATACGCCAGACGACCAACCGTGCAACAGTCTTCGCGAGACTTTCGCGTAGACGACTCGTCCACCGATTCTCCTCGTCCAAGTCGTTCAAGAAATACATAGAATTTATCGTTTGGGCAACGCGGTGTACGGTGATAGATATGTCTTCTGTAATCTGGTACACTATAATCGGATGTAACGAAGAACAGTCAAACGAAGGTAGAAGTTTGAAAAGGAAAAATGAAATGGTCCCTGCCGATGTAAAGTAACAGGAACAGTGGCACCTGTTTTGGGTGGTGCCTCGTGGAGTCATGCGAGCAGGTGCGACAGTCACTCTCCGACCCTTGTTTCGCCGACGGGCACTGAATTCTCCACCGACTCCTCATTGCGTTCGTCCAATGAATCTCTTCACTACCCTGTTCGGCCTTGAACCTTATATCCTCACAGCGTAACCCTCGGCGTTCCTGTCTTTCTTTTTGTGCTCCTTTTCACCAAAGGCAGCCCCTTATATTGTACTTTTATTGGCCTTTACCGGTACTGGCATTGTTTACACGCCCTTCGAAATTATATCGGCAACTCGTACCGACTTTATTGTCTTCCGGGTGAATGAAACCCTCGTTCGTCTAGCACTTCCAATTCCGTTTCAGCCTTCACTGAAATTATTTCCTACGTTCCAGCAATTGTACAAACGTCTATCATATGTTCATTAATCGTAGTAAAAGAGTTTGAAAATCGAATCACCGCGAATCCCAGTAACATCGGCAATGCCCTGCGCGTTCTCACGCGAATCAGAGATACAATACCCGGTCATTTACACGCTGCGAGCTCGGTTTCGTTCGGCGGTGGTACAGAGAGTTCGCGG